AGTGTTGATCTTGACTGCTACTGAAAAATTAAAAAAAGGAGAGATTTTTCTATTGTTTTTGTTATTTTCTACGGTTTCTTGGTGACTTTGTATTTCATTAAAAGAGGAAAGGAAAAAAAGAAAAAGAAAAAAAAGAAGTTAATACGGTAAAAATTGTTGATGGGTAGCCCTGGATCGAGTAATCTGGCTACTGCAGCTCGCGTTGGATTATCTGAGCCAATTTCAACTGGTGGTCCCAGTGAATTTGATGTTATAAAGACTCGTGAACTGGAAAAGGTTGGTTCTTTCTATTGTTTGCGTGCGTTTTCCTTGTGCTTGTTTGCTTGAAATTGGTCGATGCATCTGTTGGTAAATTGGAACTGAACTGTCTCTCGACGTTCTAAACCCAACTCACATTGGGTGGTGACAGGTGAAGAGCAAGGTTTCTTAAACTGAACACTTTGATTTCTGAACATTTGCTGTGAAATCAAATTGTACTTTCAAGGAAGTGCAGCTGTTTTTAGCATGATTATGTGTATATATTGCCTTTACAAATTGATTGCTACAAGGAAGTTGGTTGGTAGAAAACAGAGATGCAGTAGGGAATATTTGTTTAATCTGCTGGGATGAACATTGTGGGAGCTAAAGATACGTTTAGTGGAACTGTAATTTAATTGCAGGAAGTTAATTTTAGTGTATGTATGATTGTTTTCCCTTCTCCAAACTGGCTAAAGTCCTCCATGTCTATTGTTTTGCTTTGAAAACCAAAAACTGGTTATAGACTAATAATTATCTGTCTTGCTGTAGTTTTCTTTAATATTTTGCTTTACTTATTGACATCATCAAACAAACAAAGTTTTAGTCTTCTTAACCAAAAAAGAAATACAACAAAATTCAGCAAACACAGAAAAATCTCAATGAATCTTACCTAAAATGTAATGTACAGATCAGTCTATAGTGCAAAGTGATAAAACATTAGCTTTGCCACCCTAAACTCTAGATTTTTTATCAGCATCCATTGGTTTACAATTCAATGCAACTGGTTTGTCAAACAAAGGTACAGGGATAGAAACTCTGGTTACCTTTTTCTTGGCGTAGTTCGTCTGATGCATCGCCATTGATATCTGGAAATCCAGTTTCTCTTTGTTTATCCTTTTCCTTTAGGAATGGTTATGTGTTACAACTTTGACTTTGAGGAACTTTGTTTTGTGTCCTGATAAAATGTTATGCTATTTTACCTGTGAGAGATATGGTCGATTGAAATACATTTGTATATTTCTTTCAATTTTCTGTAACTTTATCAAGTGATAGTGGGTTGTAAATGTCTCTGTGATTGTTATCAGTTTCTTCGAGATGCGGGTTTGTATGAAAGTCATGAAGAATCTGTCAAAAGAGAGGAAGTTCTTGGTAGACTGGATCAGGTCACATGTTGCAATCTTAAAATACCTTGTGTTTTTATCAATCCTCGTTCATGCATAAATTACTGACCTCGGAATTTTTTTACAGATAGTTAAGACGTGGGTGAAGAATATTAGCCGTGCCAAAGGTTATAATGAGTCAATAGTTCA